TTTTTTTTTTTTGGTTGAATTTGGAATGATACAAACCAATGATCCATGGGAAATTGTTTGTAAATGAAAGAAATCATTCAAATGCTTTCTTAACCTACATCAATGCAGTGGGTGTCTTTTAGCACATTCCGTCACCACATAGGCAATTGGGTTAGGTATTTTTTTCCATTGGCATTGAATAATCTCAACTTAATTGTTAAAGCGTCTCTCTACAGGTACATCTGCACATTGAGCGGCATCTAATGCAAGAATTGCCAGTATCAGATAGTGACATTGCGCAATGGTGCAAAGATATATTTGTGGCAAAGGTAAAGTGTAGATATGAATTTGGTTGATATGGCTTATCATGCAAAGTGAGTACCCTGAATAGAGAACAGATAGAAACAATGCGTATAAGTGAACATCCATTGCATGTTTGGTAAATAAGACTTGACAGTAACCCCAGTTCTAATAGACAATATTTTAACTTTTTTCCCTTATTTAACACTATAGTACTCCATACCAAACAAGCCAGGATTTCACATGTTGTGGTTGAAGTTAACTTAAGAGAAATACAAGGTATCCGAAAAAATTTTAAGCCTATATTATTATAAAGGCATTCTTGTTGAAACTATGGTCATAAAATATGTGTTTGTCTAAGCCTTTTGTAAGCAATTTTTAATTTATTAAAAAGTATTGATAAGTTACTTTTTCTTACTTTTAAGTACAATAACTTATTTGGAAATAGTTATTTCTAACTTTGACCAATAAAACTAGCATAATAAAATGCTTTATGCAATATTTGTTTCCTCTTGTATGTCATTTATCTTGTAAGATGAGGCCAATTTTTCGAGTTGTACATGTGCAACCTTTAGCTTAAAAAGTAACTTTTTGCCCAATTCGTGCTCACAGTCAGCACAATATCTCTCATATTATTGGGACTTGAGTTTCTATCTCAAAAAATCAATATTTGTTAAGAAGAGTAGCTCTAGTCCTTGAACGCTGGTTAAATTTTAACCGATGTTTAACACTTACTAATGCCTGAAGTTTTATTGACTGATAGGATGCTTTACTGGAGCATCATCTTGCTAAGGACACGTTTGGTAACAAACAATGCATAAACATCGGTAGACCGAAGAAATCTTTGTTGGTATATATCCTTCCACGAGTTCGATAAAATTGTGATTTTGTTTTCTTGATACATCTTTTTCCATTTTTGATTTATATTTCACTCTTATTTTTATTTACAGGTGGTACTCTTGTGGTCATGTTTCCTCATTTTTGGATGTGTCAAAATTTTCCAATGGTGCACTTTCTCATGGGGAGAAATTGCATTTTGTGCTGTTTTCTTGGCTTTGATTATGATCCTTATGCAAATACTCATTGTGTTTTCCCAATCAGAACATTCAACCCCTCCTAAGATATCACAGCCGGACCCATTGAAGGACGTGCTGCTTCAAAAATGAGCTGATGTAAAGTCAATTAAGGTATATTTGGCACACACTACGAAATATGACTTAACAATAGACAAATTTAACTTTCGTTTTTCTTTTTTCTTTTTTCGTTTATATTGTCCTTTATAGTCTAATTTATCTTATTAATCATGTCATTAATGCGTATCAGGTTCAATACGAAGAAAACTCCTCTTAGAGCCGTTTGCCAGTCGACAAGTTCAAGACGAGTCAGATTAAATATTTGCAATGTTGCTATACCGGGGCAAAATTACTTCAAAACTTGCTTCCTACTTGTAGTTTGTTGCATCATTTCTTATTTATTCTTTTTTTGTTTTACCTTAACTAAAAACAACAGGCAATATAAATCTCAGAGAGAAGTATAGTATGTATCTCTATTAATATGACTACCTATGGATCGCATAGTAAAAATATGGAGAAGAACCGTTATTATGACCGTCTTGCCCCATTTGATTAGTGGGGTGAAACTTGATATGGATGTTGTATTTCTCATCCTTATTGCCAATTATAGATTGATCGTCTAAATGGGAATCTCAATACTTGCTTCGAATACATTTCTTACCATACAAATAAACGTTACTACTTAAAAAATAAAATAAAAAGCTGTGAAACTCGTGTATACTATCTAATTATTTGGGTTTCAAAAAATATCCAATAATTTTTGAGGTACTTATTACGTGAAAACGTAATATAAAATACAATCATGCTAATGGTACATAATTTCCTGTACCTAAAGGTGTTCATCCTCTTACATGGGTGGACCCCACTCGGACACTAAAATTATTCCTTTATAATAGATCTTTCAATTTGAGTGATTCTTTATTCACGTTGTGGTATTGAGCCGTCATCCGGGTTAACTAGTGATAATTGATATCCATTTATAGTGAAGTAGTAGAATATTTATTAATATAAACAAAGAATACGATAAATTCTTAACATAAAATAATTTATCTTTTGGAATCCCATCATTGTGGGTATATATAGAATTAATATGTAAGTATATAT